TCAGCCCCGCGCTTCTTCGGGGCGGGCGCCGCCATCGGACTGTGTGCGCGGAGCCCGGGTCGGCAGCAGGGGCAGCGGCCGCCTCGGGAAGGGCGGGGCCTGTCCGGGCCGCAAGGCGGGTCACCCGGGTGCGGACACCGTGCGGCTTCTCTGTGGGGCTATCTCCGCCGGGACCCAGCGGTCTGGGACCTCCCCACAGTAGCTGGGTAGAGTCACAATGCCTGTTCTGAGGACGCCGGAAGTCCCGCCCCTTGGAGTTAAGCGTTGCCTGGAAACACCTTTTCTGACCCTTGATTGGCTAATCTGTTGGGATTCCTCGCAGGGTCATCTGGGTAATGTAGTCTTTGAGTCCAAGAAAGTGATCAGGGGTTTTACCCCCCCCAAATCACTGCTGTAGAAAACATGGACATCGCTACTGGAGGGCTATGAAATGTCACGTCCTCAGGGGAGACACATCTTAAAAATGGCTAAAGGAAGTTATCTTTTCCTGGTGAAGAGTTAATCCGGCCTGACCAATGTCACTGAATGGTCTACCATTAACCAATGAACTGGTCATGGTTCAATTACCTTGTCAGGTACATGCCCATTTCCAGCTAGCAGTCCCCAGTAGTGGGGGTGCAGGAGGCAGGGGATCAAGGATTTTCTCTCATCACTGATAGTTCTCTAGCCCTCTCCCTTCTCCCTTCCTCTGTGAAATAAATTTTTTTACAACCATATTTTAAAACACACATTTTCTATGATCCAAATATAGCAGTCATAATTAAAGAGACACGCCTACATTAAAGAGTCTGAAAAATTTTATCACATAGATGACCTACTTACACCAACGTATATGTTTTTGACAAATATAACACAAAATTGTAGGCCCAGCCTTTGAAGTGGAAAAGATGGAACTCTCTTGTTTTATTATAATTTTAACTTCAATGAAAAGAAATACATTCTGAAAAAAAATGGGAGAGTTTGTGAACAAAAAAGGGCCACATATTAAACCTGACAAGCTCCGTGGAGGTCTGAGTGGCAGCCTTACCAACTCAGAGACATAAGGTAACCACACAGGATAGTCTGAAATGAAATCAATAAAATATATATTTTTTAAAAAATTCAGGTACCAAAAAACTTAGTTCCCATAACTAATACCTGATTAATGTAACATATAATAATTTATACAACTTATGGTTTATAAAAGGACTAAGCAAAATAATGGTTATTTTCAATTTCATTTGTCCTTGGGTGCGGTCAGCAAATGACACTAATGGATTTTTGCTATAAGTTTCCCTAAGTACATTGATATAAGGTATTTACACTCTGTTTAGAGAGGCAAAATGCAAGTCATTTACTTTTTTAAAAAATATATATTTTATTGATATTTTTACAGAGAGGAAGAGAGGGGGAGAGTTAGAAACATCGATGAGAGAGAATCATCTATCAGCTGCCTCTTGCACACCCCCTACTGGGGATGTGCCCGCAACCTAGGTACATGCCCCTGACCGGAATCGAACCTGTGACCTTTCAGTCCACCTGGGACCTTTCAGTCTGCAGGCTGGAGCTCTATCCACTGAGCCAAACCGGTTTCAGCAAGTCATTTTCTCTTAAGTGTCCTTGGTTGAGGGAAGATAAGATTTACTAAATGGGCCGGAACTGGTTTTAAAAAAAAGATTTACTAAATGGCCCCAAATGGCTGTTTAATTAATTTTTTAATTTATTTTAAATATATTTTATTAATTTTTTACAGAGAGGAAGGAAGAGGGATAAAGAGTTAGAAACATTGATGAGAGCTTATCATCGATCAGCTGCCTCTTGTACACCTCCCTATTGGGGATGTACCTGCAACCAAGATTTCGGCAGTTTAATTATTTTAAGTTACCTATTCTACTTATCCTAGCTTACTGGCATGTGTCATTTATTCGATTTTTAAATCTTTTTTCTTTATAAAGGTTTTGTAATTTTAACAAATTTTTCTTTAGAAATTTTACAACTTTCAGAAATTCCCAAATTTAAAAAACCACATCCACGGACTACAGAAACCCTTTGCTTCCGTCCTTGTTTTTTTTGCCAGCCACACATGGTTCTGAGGTGAACATCTGAAAGGCTTCCAAAATCCACCAAACCTCCTGGTGATAGTCAAAGAGACTGAGTGTGTCCACAGAAGATAAACATGCCTCAGATCTTCAGGTCTGTGTAAACAATGCTCCTGTACTTTTTTTTTATTCTTGTATTATTTATTCTTTTTAAAAAAATATATTTTATTGATTTTTTTACAGAGAGGAAGGGAGAGAGATGGAGAGTCAGAAACATCGATCAGTGCTTCCTGCACACCCCCCACCAGGGATGTGCCCGCAACTAAAGTAAATGACCCTGACCAGAATCGAACCTGGGACCCTTCAATCCACAGGCGGACGCTCGATCCACTGAGCCAAACCAGTCTCCACATATTTATTCCTTTTTTTAAATTTCTTTATTACGGTATTACATATTACATATTACATATATGCCCTTTTTACCCATCCCCTGTTGTCTGTGTCCATGGATTAGGCTTATATGAATGTATATAAGTCCTTTGGTTGAGCTCCTGTAAACTTTTGCTCAGAAACACTCCTGGATGCATGTTTCGATGAGGGACATTCCATCTAATGGGCTACACTCCCCTCCAAAACCCATTAGGCCATTGCTTTTTGTTGTGTTGTTTTTAATATATTTTATTTTATTTATATATTTTGATTTTTTACAGAGAGAGAAATTGAAAGGGATAGTTAGAAACATCGATGTGAGAGAAACATCGACCAGCTGCCTTTTGCATACCCCACACTGGGGATGTGCCCGCAACCAAGGTACATGCCCTTGACCAGAATCGAACCCGGGACCCTTCAGTCCACAAGCCAATGCTCTATCCACTGAGCAAAACCGGTTTCAGTTAGGCCATTGTTTTTATAATGAGAATGTTTCCCTTAACTGTGATGGTCCTCCAACCAGTGACCATCGCCCATGCAATTGAAGGCATTAGGGCACATGGCCCTCTGCAAGACATGGAAAGAGACAGTCTTCAAATATATTGGCATCTCTTGAAAACAAGAAAAATATTGCCGCAGCTCAAAGATATAGAGGTTGTCACAGCTATCCCATCTTAGGAGTGATCGCTTTGCCTCAAAGCTTCCATCTTCCCATGAGGAAAACAGAGTCCACAATCGACAGTATTTACTAGGAAAATATGGGCAGCCATGAAAATGGCTAAGTTAATTTGTACACTCCACTGTTCAGTCAAGGTCAAAGAATGTTTGAGGCCATGAAAGGTTTTCACCTCATCATGTTTGGAGAGCTCAGATCTCCTTATAAGCTAACCCACACAGTAAATAGAACACCCAAGATGAAAGAAGACTTAGGAAAAACCCTTCATTATTTCACAAACCAAAGAGACATGAGATTGGCAGTTCTACATTGATGTTTTCAGAACTCAATAAATCCATCACTGGCATCCAGGGAATGTGTGTCTCTAAAAATGGCAGTTCCTCTGCAATGTTATGTTTTGTGGCACTAACACTAATCCATCCAATAAATCAAACAACAGAGTTGCTTCCTTGGGCACAAGAGGATGGTGATTGATGCTGTAGGTGGGTCGTATAGGTGGTACAAATGAAATACTTTAAGTAACAGAAATATGCAGTGACATAGATCTGCAAAACACATCTAAGTATTTCAGAATGTGAAACATAGCTATATATGGTTCCAACATAAAAAACAAACAAACAAACCAAAACCGGTTTGGCTCAGTGGATACAGCCTCAGCCTGTGGACTGAAAGGTCCCAGGTTCGATTCCGGTCAAGGGCATGTACCTTGGTTGCAGGCACATCTTCAGTGGGGGGTGAGCAGGAGGTAGATGGGGGATGTTTTTCTCTCATTGATGTTTCTAGCTCTTTATCCCTCTCCCTTCCTCTCTGTAAAAAATCAATAAAATATATTTTTTTAAAAACACTGCATAAAAACTTATGGGGATTTTATATCATGTAGGTTTTTAAATGTGTAAGATTCATTAAAATGTATGAGATTCATTAGTGGTAAAAGATTTCCTACATTCACGGCATTTATAACGGTTTGCGCCAGTGTGTACTCGCTGATGACCAGAAAGAAGAGTGCTATGGATAAAAGAGTTCCCACACTCACTGCATTTATAAGGCTTTTCTGCAGTGAAGATGAAGGTCACAGCTCCTGCGAAAACATTTCCCACATTCACTGCACTTATAATGCGTTTCTCCAGTGTGCAGTCTCTGATGATATTGAAGGGCAGCACGTCTGTTAAAAGATTTCCCACAATCACTGCATTTATGTGGATCTTCTCCAGTGTGAACTCTAAGACGAATCTGAAGGGCAGTGTTGATGGATAAAGATTTCCCATATTCACTGCATTTATAAAGCTTTTCTCCAGTGTGAACTCTCTGCTGAAGAAAAGGTGAGTGCTACTGAGAAAAAATTTCTCACATTGACAAAATTGATAAGGCTTTGCTCCAGTGTGAATTCACCGATGACGGGAAAGGCCAAAGCTACTGATAAAAGATTTCCCACATTCAGTGCACGCATAAGGTCTTTCTCCAGTGTGAAATTTCTGATGATCTCGAAGAGCAATAGTGGTAATAAAAGATTTCCCACATTCACTGCATTTATAAGGCTTTTCTCCAGTGTGAATTCTGTGATGAACACGAAGATTAGTGCTCCTGGTAAAAGCTTTCCCACAATAACTGCATATATGAGGCTTTTCTCCGGTATGAACTCTCTGATGGCAATGAAGTTCATTTTTAGTGGTAAAAGATTTTTCACATTCTCTGCATTTATAAGGCTTTTCTCCAGTGTGAATTCTCTGATGGCGATGAAAGTCACTGCTCCAGGTAAAAGATTTCCCACATCTATGGCACTCATAAGGCCTTTCTCCAGTGTGCAATCTCTGATGAACTCGAAGGTCAGTGCTCCTGGTAAAAGATTTCCCACATTCACTGCATTTATAAGGCTTTTCTCCACTGTGGCTGAGTTGGTTGGTTGTTATCCCATGGACCAAAAAGTTGCCGATTACATTCTTGGTCAGGACAAATGCTGTGTTTGCAGGTTCAATTCCTGGTACGGAACACACAGGTGGCAGGTAATCAATGTTTTGCTCTAACATCCATGTTTCTCACTATCCCTCTCTCTCTTTTTCTAAAAGTAAAATTTAAAATTTAAAAAGCCAAAAAGAGCATAATTCAAATTTACTAGAAGCTTTATTAAAAAAAGAAAAAAGCCCTGACTGGTTTGGCTTGGTAAACAGAGCTTCGGCATGTGGACTCAAGGGTTCAGTGTTCAATTACATTGAAGGACATGTACCTTGGTTGCGGGCACATCCCGAGTGGAAGGTATGCAGGAGTCAGCTGATCAATGTTTCTCTCTCGTCCATGTTTCTAACTCTCTATCTCGTTCCCTTCCTCTCTGTAAAAAAATCAATAAAATATACATAAATAAAATAAAATCTAAAAATTATAAAATAAAGAGAAAGAGAAAGAAAAAATGATATTACCTCCTACAGTATAAACTACAAAGTGTCATATGAGATGTTGGCAGATTACATGACTCTCCATATGGAAAAGTGTCAAGATCCTACTTTGAGCTTCTGAAATGAAAAACAAATTCCGAACTATGGCTAGGTGACTCGCTCAGTACCCAATACCGTGAGGTTGTAGGTTTGATCTCCCTTCAGGACACACGCAGGGGACAGCTAATGAATTCATAGGTTGTTAGAATAACAGATCAATGTTTCTCTCTCTATTTCTGTCTATCTCTGTCTCAGTTTCTCAAAAATTAACAAATAAAAATTTTGGAAAGTTTACAGAATATGAAAGTCAACACACAAACTTCAGTGTCATTTCTATAAATTAACAATAAATTTTTGATAGAGAAATGAAGAAAGTAGTCAAGTTTGTAACAGAATCAACAATAAAATACTTGGATGTAACATTATTATATTTAAAATCATTTTCTTGAAATAAAATTAAAAATCTGAAAAAATAAAATTGGCTAATCTGGCCAGATGTGGTTTGGTGATTGAATGTCAACCTATGAATTAGGTGGTCAGAATTGGATTTCCAGTGAGGGCACATGGTGGGTGTGCAGGAGGCAGCTTATAAATGATTCTCTCTCATCATTGATTTTTTTTTAATATGTTTTATTGATTTTTTACAGAGAAGAAAGAGAGAAATAGTATAGTTACAAACATCAATGAGACAGGAACAGCGATCAGCTGCCTCAAGCACACCCACTACTGGGGTTGTGCCTACAACCAAAGTACATACCCTTGATCAAAATCGAACCTGTGACCCTTTAGTCCGAAGGCCGACATTCTACCCACTGAGCCAAACTAGTTAGGGAATCATTGATGTTTCTATCTCTCCCTCACACTTCCTCTCTGAAATCAATAAAAATATATTTCTAAAAAATAGGCTAAAGATGTAGAGGCAATTTTTCCAAAATTTGTACCAATGACCAACAGGAATATAAAGAATGCTTTTCCTCACTAATCATGAAGGAATCCATTAGGCTCCCTGCCACAATAACAACCACAAATCCCTCCCTAGGAGTTCAGTACAGGAGGTGTTGTGATTGCAGAAAAAGAAAAGGGCAGAGCAAACAAACTAGGCCCACCAAGTACAGCAGGGCCCACAAAACTGAAAGCCAAGTAGTGAGGACAGAGCACATCCCGGTAAAGGGGCATGAGGATGTGTAATGTCAATGGGTCTCTGTTGAGAGTGAAAATCTTACCCAGCGAGGATACAAGTTCAAAGTTCTCCAGCATCACATTCATGTACAGCTGTCTCTGACCCTCATCAAGGAGGCTCCATTCCTCCCCGGAGAAGTATAGGGCAATGTCCTCAAAGGTCACACCAACCTGTCAGAATGGAGACAACTGATTATTCAGGATTTTTTTTTTTTTTTTTTTTTTTTGTATTTTAGTTGTTAATTCCAATTTGGTCCCAGGAGTGTGTCTGGGTAGCATCCAATTATACTGCAGCCAATTTTAAACTCCCAGAATTGAAACTATTGAAACCAAAGCTATATTTCTGAGAACACACAATCCTACTCCTTACACAGGACCCTAAGGCCACTGCAAGCTGACCTCTCATCACAGTCCCATTACTCTTTGTTATTGAGCTCAGCAACAGAGGGGGTTAGGGTCCTGGGAGGGCATGCACCTAAGCTCTGGGCCATGCCTGCAGGGCCCCAACCTTCCTGCCAAGCTAGTCTTCCAGATCCTGCCTCCAAGACAAAGCCAAACCAGAGCTTATGCTTCCCCCTTAAGTCTCCAGGCCAGGTCCCCAGCACCATCACCTCACACCTGCACACCACTGTGTAATGTCCTCCTTCTTCAGACCCCAAGTTCACTCCCTCAGCTCTGCCCCTTCCTATTCCGTCCATTAGATCAACCCTGAACTTGGCATATGGTATCCTAAAGTGCTTGTACCGCAGCCTGACGCAGGACCACCCGTCCTCTGAGAGTCTCCACGGCCCGAAAAGCCCGGATGGAGGCTGTGACGGCCTCCCTGCAGCCTCCGATCCGCCCGCCAATCCTCACAGCCACATCCTCAGGGGAACCTCAGAGGCCGGTCACCCCTGTCCTCTCCGCCCCGCACTGGCTGTGTCCTCAGAAGCCACCGCGCTCCTCCTTCCTCACGGTCCTCCCGGCGGACGGAGCTACAGGAGGGACAGGCCCGCACCGGGCTGTGGGGTGCGGGGTGAGGAGGCGGGGGGGCCCGGGGGACCGCACTCACCTCAGCCCCGCGCCTCGGGGCGGGCGCCGCCATCGGACTGTGTGTGCGGAGCCCGGGGGCGGCGGCGGGGGGAGCGGCCGCCGCGGGAAGGGCGGGGCCTGTCCGGGCCCCGGAGCGGGTCACCGGGTGCGGACACCGAGCTTCACGCCTTCTCTGTGGCGGTAACTCCACTGGGACCCAGGGGTCTGGGACCTCCAAACGGAGCCGACTGTGTTGGGTTGTCAGAATGACCGTTGTGAGGACGCCGGAAGTCCCGCCCCTTGGAGTTAAGCGTCTCCTGGAAACACCACTTCTGACTCTTGATTGGCTAAGCTATTGGTCTTCCACGCAGGGTGTTCTGGGTAATGTAGTCCTAGAGTCCAAGAACGCGATCAGGGTCTTTTCCACATCACTCCTGTAGGAAACACAGAGATCACCACTGCAGGGCTATGAAATGTCACGTCCTCAGGAGAGACACATCTCAAAAACGGCTAAAGGAAGTTGTCATCTTTTCCTGGTGAAGGGACTTGAGTCTATTTTGATGAAGAGATAATCTGGCCTGGCCAATGTCACTGAATGGTTTAGTGTTGACCAATGAACCAGGAGGTTATCCTTCAATTACTTGTGAGGGTACATGTCCAATTTGCGCTTGATCCAAAATAGGGGATGTGCAGGAGGCAGCGGATCAATGATTCTCTCTCATCATTGATGTTTCTATCTCTCCCTCTCCCTTCTCCTTCCTTTCTCTGCAATCAATTTTTAAAAACCAACATTTAAAAGCTCACACACGCCATAACCGGTTTGGCTCAGTGGATAGGGCATCCACCTGCGGACTCAAGGGTCCCAGGTTTGATTCTGGTCAAGGGCATGTACCTTAGTTGTGGGCACATAACCAGTAGCGAGTGTGCAAGAGGCAGTTGATCGATGTTTCTAACTCTCTATCCCTCTCCCTTCCTCTCAGTAAAAAGATCAATAAAAATATTTTTAAAAAATTAAAAATAAAAGCTCACACACATCTGTGATCCACATATAGTCGTCATAATTACAGAGGAATGCCTGCATTAAAGAGTGTCAAAAATTTTATCACACATGCCCAAACTGGTTTTGCTCAATGGATAGATTGTCAGCCTGCGGACCGAAGGGTCCTGGGTTCGATTCTGGTCAAGTGCATGTGCCTTGGTTGCGGGCACATCCCCAGTAGGGGGCGTGCAAGAGACAGCTGATGGATGACTCTCATAGATGTTTTTCTTTTTTTTAAATATATTTTATTGATTTTGTACAGCGAATAAGGGATAGAGAGCTAGAAACATCAGTGAGAGAGAGTCATCAATCAGCTGCCTCTTGCACACCCCTACTGGGGATGTGCCTGCAACCAAGGTACATGCCCTTGACCGGAATCAAACCCGGGTCCCTTCAGTCCCCAGGCCGACGCTCTATCCATTGAGCCAAACCAGTCTCAGCGATGTTTCTTTTCTTTTTTCTTTTTTTTAAAGGAAGGTTTTTGTTTTTCTTTTCTATATTTTATTGATTTTTTACAGAGAGGAAGAGAAGAGGGATAGAGAGCTAGAAACGTCGATGAGAGAAACATCGACCAGCTGCCTCTTGCACACCGCCTACCGGGGATATGCCCACAACCAAGGTACATACCCTTGATCAGAATCGAACCCAGGACCTTTCAGTACGCAGACCTATGCTCTACCACTGAGAGAACCGGTTTTCGGCGGGTGTTTCTAACTATCTCTATCCCTTCCTCTCTGTAAAAAATCAATTTAAAAACATATTTTAAAAAATTTATCACACACGACCTACTTACACCATCGTATATGTATTTGATAAATATAACCCAAAAATGTATGCCCAGCTTTTGAAATAGTAAACATAGTATTCTCTTGTTTTATTATAATTTTAACTTTAATTAAATTTTGGAAAAAGTGGGAGAGTTTGTGAACAAAAAGGGACCACATATTAAACCTGGCTTGTTCCCTGGAGGCCTGACTGGCAGCCTTAGCAACTTAAAGAGCTAGGGTAACCAGTTAGGATAGTCTGAAATGAAATCTAACTAAAAGCAATTCATAGTGATAGTCACATCCTTGAGTAGTATTTTTACCTAAGGAACATCAATCTTCACCTTAACTGAGCCTATCTTGAAACTATTTACATCTTGGATAACATACCTAATAAGATGCTTTTATTTTATTTTTATATTACATGACAAGATTTTGAGCATTTTCTTTCTTTTCATTTTTTTAAAATATATTTTATTGATTTTTTATAGAGAGGAAGGGAGAGAGATAGAGAGCCAGAAACGTCGATGAGAGAGGAACATTGACCAGCCGCCTCCTGCACAACCCCTACCGGGGATGTGCCCACAGACAATGTAGATGCCCTTGACCGGAATCGAACCCGGGACCCTTCAGTCCGCAGACCGACGCTCTACCACTCAGCCAAACCGGCCCCGGCATAAGATGCTTTTAGAATAATAAATAATTCTTCCCCCTTGCCCGCCCCCCCTCAAAGTACAAGCACTGCAACAGTTTCCCCCTCCTTGTTACTGTTATCATGGTAATTGTTGACTGTTAGCTATGCTGTACCTCCTAGGGGCAAAAATATAACATTGGGGACTAGCTGTGGTTATAGAAAAAATTA